ATTTACAAACCGATAGGGGAAGGAATTTTATAACGTCAACGTGCAGAATCTCTTAAAGAAACATAACATCAATCATTATTCTACATATTCAGTAATGAAGGCATCAGTCGTCGAGCGGTTCAATCGTACGTTGAAAAACAGTATGTGGAAGCAGTTTACATACAATGGAAACTATAGATGGATCGATTTGCTACCGCGTCTCATGTCTGAATACAACGCGCGAAAGCATCGAACTATCGGTATGCGACCCATCGACGTCACCCCCACAATCGCCAACAAGCTCTTAACCACGGTGTATAACCATGTAAAGATCGCCGCACCCGCACGATTCAAAGTGGGTGACTCGGTACGCGTCAGTAAATTCAAGACAATTTTTGACAAAGGTTACACACCAAACTGGACCACGGAAGTGTTTAAAATCATCAAGGTGCAGAAAACTAATCCCGCAACGTATCTTTTGGAGGATTCTCGTGGAAAACCCATAGCCGGAGGATTCTATGAATACGAACTGCATCGCGTTGCTAATCCCGACGTGTACCTCGTTGAAAAAGTTTTGCGCAAAAGAGGGAATGAGGTATGCGTGAAATGGTTGGGATTGGATGATTCACACAATTCATGGATACACAAGGATAATGTGTTGTAAAATAAATTTATATCGCAAATTGTTTTTTTCATTATACGCATTAAACATTATGTTTATTAAAAATATATGAGATTACAAATATACTATATATGTGTTAATACAAATATACGAGTTTTCATTACAATGGTATCTTATAATGTCCCCACGGCAGAGTAGAATAATCGGTAGAATCAGGCACAATGTATCGCTTATCATCGTACGGACTTAGAGCGAGCTTCGTCTCGGATATCGTATACACTTCGTGCAACTTTGATCTTATGCAAGATTGCTGTCGCATCATTTCAGTTTCATCAAGCAGACATCGCACGTAATCGTTAAATGTTATCGATTTTGCTACGACATTACTCTTGACACCTTTTACCTTTTTTGTATCTTTTTTACCATCAACACGCAAAGCATACATCTTTGCTCTAAGCCCGACGAATTCGGTCATGATTGCGCCATTGTTTTCATCTTTCATCAGGCCTGGAACCTTTTTATTAGCGAGCGGAATACCGTACACATTATCAGCCGCGTAATCGCTCGTATCAAATTTCCTAATGTCACGCTTCATGATTTCATAAACATCGTCGCATTCAATGTGGTAAATTAGACTATCAGTATCGGTGTACATTACTTTACATTTTTCTTGAAAAGAAGGTAACATGTAGTCGTGATGAAATTCATACAGACAAGTCTTGGATATGTCGAGAATACACATACCCACGTAGATTGGTTTGTTAAACTTGACCTCGAGTTTGCGCATTTCTACCGCGACCAGATTCTCCGAAAAGACGCTGCGACTATGAAAATTCGGTTTCGCGATCATCGCCTCAGCATTAAATCTACCTTCCCATTTCGTTAAAAGCCGCACATCGACGTGATTGCGCACATTCTCCATGGTTTTGCCAAATACCGCGTTATTCATTAATTTGTACAAATTTTTTTCAAATTCATTCGTGGCTAAT